AGCCCCAAGCTGGAAACGTCATAGGTCAGTGCCAGACTACACGCACAGTGACTGACGTAAAGACATTAGTTTTGGAGAAAAGGGGAATGTAACAGGCTAAATGTTTATTTAACGTTCGTCACTAACCGCTCACTTGACGCTTGTTCCCCATGAGCTGACATGGTCCCCTAAAAGTCCGACACATCACGGCATCCTCATTGGCGGGACAGCAATGTGCAGTAAATAGCAAAATCATATTTTTCCTTCTCAAAAAAAACATTCCCAAATTGTTGATGGAATATCAGTACTTTTTTGTTTCCAAACAAACAGGCTCTTTAAGAACTGAGCAGAAGCCTTCAGCCACATCACTGTAAGCACGTTTACACTCCAAATTGTATCTTTATTTGAATCTTGCCAAATAAAATCCTGGTCGGACGGTCTTTAATAATATTTACTACAACAATATTTTTCGCCATCTTGATACGGAAAAGAAAGCTCTTCACATTTAATGGTCGAATACTTGCAACATCCCATCGTGGGCATTAAAATAACGTTCCGCAAATTACAATTTACCATTTGTTATGTCTGTATCTATCAAATGTGCCAATGGAAGCAAATTGAGCAAATTAGTCTCAATTGAGGATAAAGATGAGTGAATTCAGGCTTTCGGATTTAACTAATATTCTAAACATTCCTTTAAATTGCTTCTTAGTAAGATTTTGCTGTTTGTTGATTGGCCAATTTGTAATCTGTTTTCTTGTAAAAACAAATTAAAATAGCAACAGGAACCATGATGTAAAAAGAACATTTGTTAAAAAAATCTACTGCTGCTTTAGATAAAAATGCAAATCTTAATTTTAGTAAAAAAAATAAGTTATTTTTGATCGATGAATCAACGTTACTTCGTGAAATAAGAAATCGAAATAAAATATCACAGAATTCAACGAAAGCATTTGGAAAAAATCATACATTTGATGAACAAATCGAAAAACTACATTCTGAACGTATAGCCGAGTTTGCAGACTGATTTTTTGAATTCACAATAGTTGATATCCGAAAACCTGCCTTTTATTTGGTTGAAAAAAATTAGATTTCTCATCAATTCAATAAGGAGAAATCAAAAAATTAATTCAATAATAAAAATTTAGAGAAAATTCCCTTACGCCCTTCGAGCCTTTCCCTTACGCCCCGAGTCCCTCTAATAGAATAGAAGGGTTTAACAAAGCGAATGTACTACTATACTTCTTTGCCCGGACTGAAAAATCAGTGGTGCCATGTGCATCCTCACACCTGTAGCAGCTAAACTAGACATGGACACAAATAAGTCGATACCAAGCACACTAAACTCTGTGCTTTTTAGTGGTTTGGATGAAATCTGAAATTTGGTGAAAAGAGGCTTAATTAGTTTTGTACAGAATGTGGAACAACAGCAACATGCTTCAATTAATACGTTGTAAAGCATGGTTTCAGTGCAATTGTGGAGGTGTAGACGCAAGAAAGAAACTATTTTTCTGTACTTTATGCAATGAGTAGTCTTTTCATGTATTATATAATATATTTTTTTAAGAATCAGGGTTTTGTTTAAATGACAAGATGAAATGGCAGGACGAAATAAACACCAATAAAAGGTTCACTTTAAGATAGCAGTACGCCAATTTGAACCTTGTTCAACTTTTTCTTTTCTAATTTATTAAAAAAATATGCGTACTTACATTAAATACTTGTCATGTGGGCCTTTGTATTCCTAAATGTCTAATACATACTTTAAATCAAAATTATAAACATAAATTTTCACATGTTAATGTGATTTTTAGAAAAAAATGTTTCGGCAATTCGATATAACGAAAAGTAATTGACATTTTCATAGGAATTCAAAAATAAAATTTAAAGTGTTTCGTTAAAAAACCGTTTTTCCTGCGCTGTAACTTATCTGATACACCATCTATAATTGTGAATATTTTAAAATTATGCACGTTTAATTCCATCACCTTTACAATATAACGATAAGCATTTAAAAACAATAACACCGGTTAAGCACACTCTGTGCTCTTCGTTGAATTGTCTCTTACTCCTTAATTCTATAAAGCACTTAATTCAAATAATATTTTACATTTTAATTGTGGGTAGAAGCGAAAAATAAATCCAAAAGTTCCGCCTATGGCCACCCCTAAGCTGTGTCACAACACATCGCTGACTGCTAATAGGCACTACTGAACCAAATCTCAGCACCCCACATGATTACCTTACCTAATTACTCTTAACTCGACTCTGACTGTCTCTCGAAATTGTTTCGAACAACCCTGCCAATTTCCTTAAAAGCACGGCCAATCAAAGTGTAGTCGAACAGTTTCGGGATTCTTTCAACGGGATAACACGATTTGGGCCATGATTATTTTGAAATTTTTCAACATCAGGTGCCGGCATGAGGGATGATAATATAATTAAATTCGGTGCCGGTATTGGAGCAGTGTCCTCGTCAAATTAGCTTTGCTTATTTGAATTCCATTAATTTTAATGTAAATGTAGTATCGCTTTTTTATATCAGAGTCAAGTTGTGAAAATTCAAATGTTGCCAAAAAGTGATTTTTATTAATAAAATAAGATAAAGCTGTCGGTGAATTTTGTCTAACGAGTGAATGACCCTGTATACACAAGGACGATTTAGTAAAAAACAAATACGACTAATAGCTTCAAGCGTGTTTCTGAAGCGAACCAGGAAAAACAATTCCAATTTTAAAGCATATTTCAGAATTATGCAGTGAACGATACTTTGTATGCAGTATTTTAATATTAAAAAAAAGAGAACAAAACAAAACTGGAAGGTCTCCTATTTGGGAAGTGGAAGGCGGCGCTAGGCGGAGTCAAAAAGACATTCGCTGAGACGCCCAGGCAGCGCCGTCAGCGTCGCTGGATTCTGAAAACCGGAGAAAAATGCGCAATTTTCTCGGTGCACTCGAATTTGTTGGGCTCGAAGTTGCCATAGTTTTCCACTAGACACAACTAGTCCGGGCTGACTGAATCCGCTTAAAAATAGAACGTAAAACAATTTTACATTTCATGTTTTTTCGAACAAAAAACGCATTAAAACCGAATTCTACCTTTACAAAAGCCTCATAATTAAAATGATTTCCATTTAGCAAGTATCTCATCTTAAAGCGATAACCCAGACCAAAATAAACCCATTATCTTTATCACAAAATTGGCCATTTTTTGCTTTGAAAGGGTGCTAACAGGGGTGATAAGCGCGCTTGATGTCCATCTGTTCAAACGTTTAAACCCTCAGAAAATAAAAACCTTAGGCGTTTTTGCATTGCTCTTACTTACAGACTTTCCTGCCATTAAGTTAAAGTTTTGAAGGTGAAATGCAGTTTAAGTTATGATTTATTAAGGCATATTTCATCCAAGGAGAATAAAGACAAAAAGTAATTAAAACAGACGTTTCGTGGCGGTTACCGGAGGAAATTTCAAGAAACTTTTTCACAACTTATAATGTTTTACGCAATATTAAACATAAAACATTTCTGTTTCAAAACTCAAGTATAAATACATTGCGCATTGCCAGGATCGGGGACAATCGACAATTTACAAAACTTTAACGATATCGTGGCGAAGTATTGCGAAAATGATCTCTGACTAACGACAGGAGGAACAACCAGCTCAGTGTTTCTTCTGTTCTTTTTATGATCAAAAATCTCTCCTTAGATCTCTGATGAAATTAAATGCCGCGTTTTAATGTTCAACGGGTCGAAAAAAGTAAAAAGTTTATATCGTCCCCTTTTACCGGCGCTTATTTCACTTTACAGTGACGTAACTAGGGGAAAACAAGATACTTTACCATCTTGTATTAGTTAAATCAAGGGATACTTGAAACTAAAAATCCCACACATTGAGTTTAATTCTACTACATTTATTTTTAAATTTTTATAGAATGGTTGACAGACGCCTTTTTCACTCACTGTTTTTTTTATAAAATAATTAAATCTAAAGACCCACCTTATCCCTACGATAAAACCATATTTCAAACTGATAAGCAAGCATTTGAAAAGTCCTATTCATATTAATTGCATCAACCATAAATAAATCCTAAATTAATTAATTTCCGATGTCTGTGTGAACTTTTAAAAAACACATGTGACAAAAGATTTACTCTAAATGTTAATTAATTTTACTTTTAGTATTGATTCTACTCTGTTTGCGAAATAAGATGTGTGCGCCCTAAATAAAGAATACAATAATAAAGTATGATTTGATTTTCCTAAATGTTCAAGTGTTTGTAAAGTAAATCAACTTGAATTGCATTTTATATGTTAGAACCTTTATATCAGTTTAAGCTTCAACAGCATTTTTTTTCTGTAGAGAAAAGTAGCTGAAATTGCCTTTTAGTGCAATATAAGATAGTAGTTTTGCTTGCAAATGTGAACCGATATTTATAGTAATTGTAACTCTTTTTTTCTTGTTGGAATGTTAAATATATTATTATTATTATAAATTTTTAAATTTCTTGTCATATAAAGGGAGCAGTTTCTGGCACATTTACATAAAAAACTGCAAGTTTTTCAGAACATGAAAATGCTCTATTGTGACCAAACACAGCTGTTTTTTTCAATGCAATCAAACAGTTTCAAATGCGATTTTCTGCTTCAACAAGGGTGCAGAGCCTCCATCATTCATTACCTTGACTTGCAAGATGTATTTTGAAGTCAATTCGTACGCCTTTGGATTTTTCCAGGACCGTTTAACCCTCAGACTGACACCAAGAGTCCGTCGAAAAAGGGAATTTAATTAAGTTAAATTACACTGCTTGTAGTTTAATTATGTTGGTATCAGAGTTTTTGCTGCAAATCGGGGGAGAGCCAAGCGCATTCACACCATCAGCCCCTTTAGATGTGATTCAACGATCAAAAGCTCCGTACTGCTTTGAAAGCAATTCAGGACATTTCTTCGCACGTGACATTTTCAGTTAAATGAAATTTTCTTCGATCAAAATGTGGGGTTCTAGATAGTAGACAAAGCAGACTTACCATGATCAAATAGGAAGCCGGACTTAGCTAATGCATGGGCAGCAGGAGGTAGACCAGGAACAGAAAAACTGTAAGCTCCATTGCTTCCAAAGCTTGCACCAAATAAAGGGCCTACTGTAAAAAAAGGTTTATTTCAGAAAGCAGAAATATCCAACTAATACATATGTATAAAGTATTATTCTAATTGCAATTTAAATAAGCGCCATCGAGTCGCTCAAAGCAACCATATGGCGAAATGTATTTCAAAAAATCACATCATTTACTTATAGGTTAAATAAATGCACGAAGCTCCTATCATGACAAGTAACATGGTATTTTCATAAATGAAAAAGTGGAAAAACAAAACGAGAATAAATCGTATACCTTATTTAGCTTTACTTCTTTAAAGTGTTTCCTAACTGGTCGGCAACTGCTTCCAGCTATGCCTAATTCGTTTCAACTATGGCAAGTTTAATTTTATCTGTATTTACTTAATTAGATCATTTTAAACAGGTTTCGCCTTTTTGCAAAGGACAAGAAGCTGAAACAGCCTTACTGATAAATTACTCCATCTGAGCTTGTATCGCATTTTATTGCTTAATAGGCGGCAAGTCAGCCATTTTAAAGCCGATTGTTTGGATTTAATTTTCAGAATGCCATTAGAGAAATAAATGAGTTTAGTACCACATGATTAATTATTGCTAATTACTGTAAATGGGCCATTAACGCTGATAAACTATTATAGGTAAAGAAAAATACATTTTAGAAGCAAGATCATAATGGCCTGATGGCAGTTCCTATTGAAATATTTCTCTTGGATCATGGGCATACGTTGTTGGTTAAAATCAAATATTTGATTGGATAAACGGTTAAAAGATAAATTCCAAAAGCCCAAAAGCGAATCGTAAAATAGGTCCAATGGAGGACATTTGTTGACATTAAATTCGGCAATAACACTCCGACAAACCGACAGAGCAGGAAAGAGTTGTACGCACGTTCTGCACTTAGCAATTAGCTTCTACGTGTCTGGGCGAGTTTCGGCAGTGCCGTAGAAAATTATTTTTTTATGTAGATATATTCAGTTGGAGAATTGAATAGTGAACCTGGTATTTCATACTTAGCAACTCCACACCAGATTGCATTTTCTTAAAGGCAGAAACAAGCAACATGTAGTGTGCAGAACTTAAGTTAAAGAAAAAGCCTTTTATATTATTATATAGTTAATAGTGGCTTGATTTCACTTATTTATTCCTGTGTGTGTTATTCCTACATCTTCCGTTGTATTATTCAGAGGAAACGTATAAATTACGTTTCCTTTACTTTTAGTGTAGCGATGATGTGGTTTAGCCTAGAGTCCATTGGCAATTAATATTTGACAATTTACTTGTAAAACTGGAAATTTAAATAAAAATGTACAGATAAACAGCCACAATTATCATGTTAGGGCATGGACCAATAAATTATATGTAGATACGTCCATGATTTAGACAGCTTGTAGCGCAGCACTCTGCTATAGCAGACCACTAATAAGTAGAGACACCGCCTGAATACGAATCACGTTTGCTACCCGTAAAATGTGCGTAATTGCATCATTTCATTTCATTGCAACATTTTCTAATAAATTTATTGGACCAATTTAACCCCCTCTTTTCTTTTGTTCCCTGACAAATTTATTTCACCTGCACCAGTGTCTTTTATCGACTGCTATTTCTATTGAGTGCTATTTAGATCAAGCAGATTATAAACATTTACATTATAATGAGCATGAGCTTTTATAATGGCAGATTTGATTTGAATTTATTAAGACCTAACAGCTTTAATTGTATATTGTTGGCCTGATACAAACCTCGAAGTGACAACGTTCTCCGAATGTCTGAAAGACAACAAGTTTTAATTGAATTTATTTAAATCTTGTTCACAGCAAATAAACTTAATTATTATTATATAAGCGCCTTGTTACAGAATTTGAATTTGCGTTGTAAAACACGAAAACGTTCGAACTGTTGGGTAAAAAGTAAATTGGAAACAAATTTCTATGCATGTAGGTGACTGGCAAAATTAAATTCTGGCTCTTCTTATAAAAAAGCTGGGGAATATATTTTAGAAGATGAAAGCACATTATTTCATGTCTACAGTCAGTCAAGATATTTGAGAAATAGACCATTTGTAACGTACTTAAAGAGAAAAGTAAAACAATATAAATCTCAGAAAAACGGAGTTTGTAAGAGTCAAGTGTAAAAAAGTCAAAAAAGATAGATTACATAATTCAAACTGATGGGTCAAAAACAACAACTGCAGCAAATTTTTATGTTTTGAACATCGGCTTAAAACAAAAATTTTCCAAAGAATCTATTAAGGACATACAACCTAAGCGTTACACGATAGTTAATAGTTCCGAACTCTTGTTGTTTTAGAAAAATTATTTTTTCAACAAATCTCTAAATTACTTAGGACAAACTCTCGAAGTGCTACTCTCCTCGCTTCACTGTTTATCTACTTTACATTTAGCTCCCTGAAAAACTGTAAATCTGTAGTCAGTATGGAGGAACAAACAGAACAGCAATTGTACACACTTATTTTATAGACTGCAGTCAAAGAGTTGGAGCCTAAAAGGCGATAGCTGATAGCTGCATGCAGCTTCGAGCGGAAAGGACACATGTACTCTTTGAAACCCGGCGACAAATCACACAATTCGAATTCATAAATCTAATTGGACTGCACAATAGATTGGTACTTTAAAACTTCTCTAATCTCACTTTGCTGTATCTTGCAATACATTATACTGAGCGTCAATAATTCAGCCGATGCAAACTCTCACAGCAGAATAAATATACATATTTTATTTCCAGATAAGGTAAAATGTTTCCTTTGGGTTTCCATATTATACGAAAAACGTTATTTTTGCTGGACATCCGAGGATCAATGATTTATTATAAATAATCTAATAGATTTCGACTGTTGCTTCTAAGTCAACTTATGAAACTCTACTGACCATAATTCGTGGATTAAAACACTTTTTTTTCAAGTAACTGGTGTTACTGTCGCTGAATATCAAAGAGGATGATTTTTTAAAGTTACAAAAATTAGCTCCATACCGGCAAAAGGCAAAAACCTGCCGCTTTGGCATCGCATTAACAAGAAGAGAAATCGTATGAAGTGCTAAATACAAAACGGATGCCGTACCAGCCACTTGAGCTTCGTGACTCGGTATTGGAATCGCGGATTCCGCAAACCGCTTGAGCTTTCCTGCGAGTCGGCATTTGGAAAACAATCCGAACATAAATAAGTTGTCTGCTGCAGGAATGCTACAGGAGCGCGAGCCGACTCATAGCAGGGAATAAATCACCACTTGAGTGAGAAACACACTGTAATACAAGACAAGGTATTTGCCGAAATACATGAACATGCACCCAGTTTTCACCCGGCTCTTACACATTGCACACATGCAGCTTCTTATCATGATCCAGTGAGCCCTTACTGCTATCCAAAGTTTAAGCGATTAATTAAAAAAAACAATTGCAGAAGTCGAGTTTTCATATACAGGGTGATCAAATTTTTGTTTCGACTGAACTACCCCCACCAATGGTCTAGCTTCTAGCCAACCCAACGCAAACATTTTAAATGGCAATCTCCTACTTGTAAAGCTCCTTCTAAAGTTCTGCAGAAATGCTTTACGATTGCCCATCCCCATTATGCACTTCCACTTAGACAGTGATTGGATGATCATTATCCAAATAAATGAATTGGTAGACTAGGCCCTATTGAGTGGCCACTACGGTCGCCAGACCTAACGCCACTTGATTTTTTCTTCAGGGGACACCTGAAATGCAAGTTGTTTTTAAAATCCAGCCGACTCAGTTGAGCAAAGACACATACGAGCACACCGAACTTGAAGACTGTTATCGTCTGAAAAATTATAAAAACAATTTTGAACAATTCATTCAATAAGAGAAAAATTAAAATATCTAAATTATTTTGCAATTATTAAGTCGGTAATTACTTCATCAAATGTAACGTTATCTAATGCAATAGTGAAGGATTTTTGAAGAGCCTTAAATGGAGCTATTGCAAGTAGTAAGAGAAGGTAAAGAGAAAAAATATGGGGATAAAATAAACCGTAAAGCAACTAAACGAAATAAAGGAAGGAGAACAACAACTCAGAAATTTACTAAATGACGACGGAGAAGATATTAGTAAGGTGGAAGAAATAACAAGAACGGTGGAAAAATATTACAAATCTCTTTATGAGGGTAAAAAACACCTCCCCCAGGGCAAGAAGAAAAGATAGATATACCTGAAAAAACAACCACCGATATAAAACGCTCTTAAAAACATACCCAACAAAAAAGCTCAGAGGAAGATGACACTATGGTAGAAATGATAAAGTATGAAAGCAAATCTAAGGCGATTCAACTATCGCGTGGTCCTATAATATAGTAGACCTAATTTTCAAGAAAGCCAACAAGTACAGGCTCGAGAATTATAGACATAGACCAATAAGCTTGCTATCGGTTCTCTATAAAGTATTCACAAGGATTATCACCCAAAGATTTTCCAATCAATTGGAAACATATCAAACTAGAGAACATGAGGGTGTTAGACGAGGCTACAGTACTAGGGACCACTTGCTAATGTTGAGAAAAAGCAAATGAACACAATATAACACTCTGGATGACAATGATAGGCTGCGAGAAGGTCTTCGACTGAAATACACAAACACTATCTAATACATAAAGGCTGTTTTTTAGAAGCATAGAACTTTAGACTGAAATAAAACTCACTAAAATCATGTTAACGTCATAGTACTGGCTTTATTGAAAAGGAAATTGTATGCCATTATAGCTTAACAATGATTTGGGGTATAATGCGCCGCGGCTGGCTCAAATGAACAGCAATCTGGAAGTCCAATTTTCGACCACTTCCAAACTTCTTCCAGACCATAAAGCACAAAAAACAGTGAGCTTTTCTGGTTATGGCGGAGTCTCAATAATGTCTTCTGGATTTTCGTCGTTTCAAATTTGGCAATTTTGTTTATTTACGCAACCATTGAGCACATCACCAATATGGAAGTAAGAAGAAGAAAGTCACAGACATATGGTAGACAAGAGATGGACGCCAAGAGTGACAGAACGGAT